CACCTCGGACCTGGATGCCTCAAGAGCTTCTCAACTCCCAGCTCAATTCACCCCCTCGCGCCTAATTTTGATGGATTGTGATATTATCCGTTGCCTCTAAAATCGATTGACCACCTTTTACCCCCCGCCCTCGTAGCCCTCGGGGCTCCCATTCCTCGACCATGGCTACCTTGCTCCGACGGCCAGGCAATCTCGCTCGCTACTCGAGGAAAGCCGCGGAATCTGCTGGTCGCATGGGGCTGGCTTCCGTGCTTGTGCGACAATCGAGACTCTCATCTTTGGTTATATCAAGCCGCGCTAGAACCTATGCCACGCAAGGTCCGACACCCCCCGACAACAGCCGGAACAACACACCAGATGGCCGCAACAATGACCACCAATCAAAGAAGCCGAAGTCAGTTCTGACCGACGCTGAATTAAAAATTGTGGATGAATGGCTGGCGGATACGATGGACGAGGAGCGACGTACCAATGTCCGAAAGTACATCATGAGCAATGGACTTCCACCAGAAGTCAGGTCGCACATCGATCCAAATCAAGAACCGACATTAATGGACCGTATCAAGATGACGCGATTCCTGTGGCAAGTCTCAGCTTACCATGCTGATGAGCGTCTAGCTAGACAGGAAGAAGCCGCGAAGCGCGGTATCGCAGACATGCGCTTCCCTGCCAAACGTGATGAAGAATCCAGCCTCCGCTTCAATAAGGACTCAGACAAGGAGCAACAAGGGCGACAACCGGCAAAGGATGGCGAACAGCAATCCAACGCAGAACCGCCAAAGGATCCCAAGCAAGACAAGGATCCTAAGGAGGAAAAGGATAACAAGGAAAAGCAAGCCAAGAGAGACCAGCAAGAACAGAAGAAGCAACAGGGTGATAAGAAGGGCAAGGTGCCCCCGAACATGGGCAAAGTTCTCGAGTTCCGCTTCGATCCCATTTCGTTCTTCGTTACCGCTCTCGTCACATACTACGCCTACCGCAGCTTCTTCCCCGGTGATAGCGGGGGCAGAGAAATCACTTGGCAAGAATTCCGCGCGAACTACCTCGAGAAAGGCCTCGTGGAGAAATTGACCGTCCTGAACCACAACAGGGTTCGGGTCGAGCTCAACCGCGATGCTGCGGCTCAAGCCGATTCAAACGGTCAACCTGCCTCCTATGTCTTCTTCAGCATTGGTTCTGTGGACAGCTTCGAGATGAAACTCGAGGCAGCTCAGTATGAGCTCGGTATTCCTTCGCACGAACGTATTCCTGTCGCCTATCACGATGAAACCCCATGGGGCGGTGTCTTGATGTCATTGGCTCCTACTCTTCTCTTCCTTGGTGGTGTCTTCTGGATGTCCCGGCGTGCCGGTGGCGGCGCCGGCGGCCAGAGTGGCATCTTTGGCATTGGAAAGAGCCGTGCCAAGCGCTTCAATCACGAGACCGATATCAAGATCAAGTTCTCCGACGTTGCGGGAATGGATGAAGCCAAGGTTGAGATCATGGAATTTGTTAGCTTCCTCCAGCAACCCGAACGGTTCGAGAAGCTGGGTGCAAAGATTCCCCGTGGTGCCATCCTCTCAGGTCCCCCCGGTACTGGTAAGACATTGCTTGCTAAGGCCACTGCTGGTGAATCTGGCGTGCCTTTCTACAGTGTCAGTGGTTCCGAGTTCGTCGAAATGTTTGTCGGTGTCGGACCCTCTCGTGTCCGCGATCTCTTCGCCAATGCCCGGAAGAACACCCCCTGCATCATCTTCATTGATGAAATTGATGCTATTGGAAAGTCCCGAGCAAAGTCGAACGTTGGTGGTGGAAACGATGAGCGTGAAAGCACTCTCAACCAGATTCTCACTGAAATGGATGGTTTCAATACCTCTGAGCAAGTGGTTGTCCTGGCGGGTACCAACCGACCGGATGTTCTCGACAAGGCCCTCATGCGTCCTGGACGATTCGACCGACACATCTCTATTGACCGACCTACCATGGACGGTCGTAAGCAGATCTTCCGTGTTTACTTGAAGAAGATTGTCACTGAAGAGAACCTGGAGTACATGGAGGGCAGACTTGCCGCTCTGACTCCCGGTTTCGCTGGTGCTGATATCGCCAACTGCGTGAACGAGGCAGCTCTTGTTGGTAAGTTCTTATGCATATTCTCTTCGCTGTATTTCATGAAAGCTAACAACCCCTCCCTGCAGCTGCCCGTGAAAACGCGGACAAGGTCGTCATGAGACACTTCGAGCAAGCCATCGAACGAGTTATTGGTGGATTGGAGAAGAAGTCCCTTGTCCTCTCCCCCGAGGAGAAGCGGACCGTTGCCTACCACGAGGCTGGCCACGCTATCTGCGGTTGGTACTTTAAGTGGGCTGACCCACTACTGAAGGTGTCGATCATTCCTCGCGGACAAGGCGCATTAGGATATGCGCAATACCTCCCGGCAGGCGGCGACACATATCTCATGAACGTCAACCAGATGATGGACCGCATGGCCATGACTCTGGGTGGTCGTGTCAGCGAAGAGTTGCACTTTGAAACCGTGACTAGCGGTGCCAGTGATGACTTCAACAAGGTCACCCGCATGGCTACTGCCATGGTGACTAAGTTCGGCATGTCGAACAAGCTTGGTTACATCTACTACGAGGATGATGCACAGCAGCAACTTCACAAGCCCTTCTCCGAGGATACTGCCCGCTCTATTGATCTGGAGGTGCGCCGTATCATCGAAGACGCCCACAAGCAGTGCCGCGACCTCTTGACTGAGAAGCGGAAGGAGCTTGGTATTGTTGCCGAGGAGCTTCTGTCTAAGGAGGTTCTTGGACGTGACGATCTCATCCGTCTCCTTGGCCCGCGCCCCTACCCGGAGTCTGGCGAGTTCGCCAAATACTTCGATGGCAAGGGCGGCAAGACCATTGCCCCGCCGGAACACCTGGACCCCGAACAACTCTCGGGTAAGGATGGCCGGGACGAGACACCTATCCCTCCTTCATAGATTAAGGAAATGGTGTCTCTTTGCATTGTGCTTTGGTTTGGTTTTGGAGGCATGATATCACTGTAGCCTCTCTTCCTTTTTGTATTTATCGATTGCATCTCCTGTTTCTTCTCCCCTCTGATCTTCTCTTTTTGTCTACTCTCATCCACAACAAATTCCTCCCTTCCCTTCCTCGTGCTCAATAAGAAGATCGTTTCCTTTATATTTTCACTCCTTGTTCCCCCTTCCCATCTCCGTGTCCAATTGGATTTGTATAACTTGTACTGGGTGTATAATAGGGAGTTGTTTCGAAACATGTCTTGGATTGCAAGTTCATGTCTCTTGCACGTAAATATTGTTGAACCATTATCGTAAGACTCATTGGCTAATAGGCTATGTATCTAAATCTCCTTTGGTAGCAATGACACATTCAAGACATGCGAATGTCTTGCGCTCTATGTCCTCAATCATTCCGTTTGAGGTATGCCTGAAACATTCCTCCAAGAAGTCGACCCAAGACAAGACTTCTTCATTGTGAATGCAAAGCTTAGTGCACCCAGGCAATGCATACAAACCCGCAGGGAGACTCAAAGCAAAGAGGACAAACAGTCTAGCTATGAAGATGACATCTATATAGATGAAAGAGATAAAGACTGATCAAGAACATATTTATGGCACTCAATCCATTAGCAGTATAGTTCAACCCCCCAATCCCCAGAACGCCGATTAGTTTAACACCCCCTGTCCTCGGTCAATAGTCTATCTGCCAGAACCTGAGATTGGAATCCTGATTCATGAAAATGCTGCCTAGCCCTGACCTTCGAGACCTGAATGGTCGGGATCTACTCAGGGATGATACGAGTTCCGAAGAAAGCAGCCCTAAAGTCGAGACGGAGTGGACGAGCGATGCTCCCGGCGCATCCGATCGTGTTTGGGATGATCCAGCGAGGAGAAAGCAGCCCAGCTGTTTCCAACCCGACAGTCTTTCAGTTTCCACCGGCGCATCAAGCGAGACTGTTGCCTCTCAAAGAAGAGAGACTCTGGCCCCAGACACCCATGCCACTCCATACAGGGCGATAACACAAGAGCATCAAATATTGGGATACGTCGGAACAGCCCTACCAGCTTTCGCGCGAGTCGATATCCCGATTCTACAGCCCGGACCTTCTGAAAGAAAACCTCCTCGGCCCTGGGAACTACAAGCACTGGGCAGACCGGATGAAGGAGTGAGCAGTGCGGCGGGTTGTGGATCACCAGTGCTGATCTTGTGGTGACGACGCACAACAGCTTGAGCACGCAAAGCATCCAGTCCAACCTGAATCTTTGGGTGATGGTTTTCAGCAATGTGTCACAGCCCATACAACGGAAATTATATGGTCTAGATGCATTGGATGCACAGGAAGCATGGCAGTTTCTGGAAAGGACATATGGGAAAGACATTCCCATGAAGATGTGTTCAGTCCAGGTCCTACGCAATATCGTGGGGATCATGTATGACAAGTGTGCGTCACTGAAAGAATACATAGAGAAGATGGTGTTGTGCAGCCGAGCAATTCAATGTAACCGCGGAGAGAAAGATGGTGGCGACGGGGGAAACATAATGGCCCCGGACAGGACCGCAACCATTTGAGATGGGATGGAGATAACGAATGGCTATGGTGCCAGTTCATCCTGGTGAATCTTGGTCCGGAGTGGGAGTCTTGGGTCTCTGAGTTGGTGGGGAAATTCGAAGATAAAGAGATAATGGATGCTGCAATATGCACTTTCAGACTCTTCCCCATCATCGAAGCAGAACAGGCGCGCTGCATACAAGCTTCTCGTTACACGAAGAATTGTGGTGCGAGACCACGTCTTTTAAAGGTCCTGTCAATAGATATCTCATGTTTCCGGTTTGTTGCGATAAGTGATTAGAGCCTGGAATATTAAAAATAGTGTGCATTGTGTCAAAACAGTTTTGAGGTAAGACGCTGAGAAAGTGCAGAAAATCACAGTAAAAACAATTCCACCCATCTGGTACAGACTCCCTTCATCCTCTGCCTATATATCAACCAAATCATTAAGCGCTCTTCTTGCTGGCCTTCTTGGTCTTCCTCGCCTTGACAGACAGGCGAGGGACAAACCTGCCAACGCGGGCCTGGTAGTCACTGTACTCGGGGTAGTTGCCAGCGCTAATAGCCTCAGTTAGACGTACGCTTCCCTGGAAGATAGCAAGAGTTCCCAAAGCACCCAGACCGGTCCAGTTGAAGTAAGTCTCGGTGCGGTAGCAGGACCACAGATACATGGTCAACCAAAATGCCTGCTCAGCGACGAAGTTGGGGTGTCGCGACCAAGACCAGAGGCCGCTGACAACAAAGCCCCGCTCAAGATCCTCAGCGGAGAACTGGTCCTTGTAGGGCTCGGGAATACGCGCGTTGGTTTGGTACTCCTTCTTAGCAGACTGGAACTTCCACTGCTGCCCGTCGGCGAAGAATTCAATAATGATGAAGAAAAATGCAGCACGGGAGAAGGCAAGGTCAGGAAGGCCAAAGGTCTCGGGTCCCTGGTTGTATGCGGCGACAACAAAAACGTATGTCGGAGTGGTGATGAGAAGGAGCAACAGCGACTGAGCCACTGAAATGAATCCGAGGTTAAAGATCATGAAAACAAAGCTATTGTTCACTTTAGCGCGCACGACCTCCCAGCGGTAGTCTTCCGAGCCAATCGAGTATCCTCCTTTGCGCCAGTAGTTGAAAGTCAAGCGAACCTATCCCATAATTCGAGTCAGTACATGCAGAGACTCGAATAAAGAGCCAACTTACACTCCAGAGAACAGTGATGACAGCGATTGTATCCAAAGTCTGGGTCTGGATTCCGGACAAACGAGCCCAGAGGGCGAAATGCACGTTATACAGCGCGGGGAGAATGCTCCAAAACCGGTCTATTTGTGAATAGTTCCGGTTGATCTCGGCTGCGATGAAAAGCAGACCAGCCAGAACTCCACAGAAAGCAAGTGCAGAGACCAGGGGGTTGGTAGCTAGATAGACAGCTCGCAAGCTATACACATCGCTACCAGCTTCGCGCAAGCTGTCGGGCAGCCATTGTAACTGGGCCAAGTAGGGGAGAACGGTGAGCTGAAATGAAGTATAATCCAAAAGGGACTCCACGCGGGGAAGTGGTAAAGATGCCATAGCTGTACTATATAGGAACAAGTTGCCGCAGAGGAAAAGGAAAACAAAGGCCGTTTGTTTGCTCCGGTAGAGTTGGACGGGTAAGTTGGCCAGAAATTACCTGATTAGGAATAGCGTTTCTAAAGGGGGAATATATGCCTCAGGCGCCAACAGCGCGTCTCAGGCATTCTCATCTCTTCGCGTCCGAGTCATCCAGAACAAGATGTGATCGACGTCAGGACATTCAAAGGCCACCACCACTATGAACCCCATGTGATCTTGATTGGGGCTCGTCATGGCTCGCAAGATCCTATGTGTGGCTGAGAAGCCTGCCATTGCTCGCGCAGTGGCCACTCACTTGTCCGGAGGTGCTTTTCAAACAGTGGGTTCCCTTTTAAAATCAATTCTGATGGATCCAGCTAACATTGAACGTAGCATGCTATTCGTGGGAATCAATACGTGAAGAACTATGAATTTGATTTCAATTTTGGTGGTGCTTGGGGCACCTGCTCGGTCACTATGACCAGCGTAGTGGGCCATCTGACTGGCCTGGACTTCGACCGCCAGTACAAAGGTTGGATGTCCTGTCCTCCAGGGTCACTATTTGAGGCTCCTGTGCAAGAGACTGTTGATAAGGTGGGCAAAATTCCAGCAGCTGGCTCGACTGCATGCTGATATCTTCACTAGGACAAGCTACCAATTGCAGATAACATCCGGAACCAAGCCAAGTACTCTAAAGCTCTATTCATTTGGACCGATTGTGATCGCGAAGGTGAGCATATTGGTTCTGAGGTCCGTAATCAGGCAAAAGCAGGCAATGCTCGGATCGAGGTTAAGCGAGCCAAGTTCAGCAACACAGAAAGCGCGTAAGTGATGTTGTATTTTTGTGTCTACTCAAACTAATCCGAGGATAGACACGTTCGTCGAGCTGCTCTAGAACCAGTCAATCTCGACGAATATCAGGCCAGTGCTGTAGCTGCCAGAATCGAGCTGGATCTTCGAATCGGCGCTGCATTCACCCGCCTACAGACTCTACAACTACAAACAGTGGTGGCAGCCTTGAAAGAAAAGGTCATTAGCTATGGTAAGCTGTCGATCATGATAGATATAAGTAAACGAATTAACAAGTTAGGATCCTGCCAATTTCCTACTTTGGGGTTCGTCGTCGACCGATACTTGAGAGTCCAAAATTTCAAACCAGAAACATTTTGGGGCATCAAGGTCATACTCAGCCGTGAAGGCAAGAAGGTCAACTTCCTCTGGAAGCGGGTACATTTATTTGACCGAGCAGTCGTGACGATGATGTTAGAGCGGTGTTTGCTTGCAAAACAAGCCAGAGTCACGAAAGTGAACCAGAAACCGACAAGCAAATGGCGGCCATTGCCCTTGACCACGGTAGACCTACAGATGATGGGCAGTCGGTTTCTTCGTTTGGACAGTCAGACTATAATGAAGGTAGGAAACTCACTCTCATATTGGATAGTACATATCTAACAAGCTCAAAGGTAGCAGAAGCACTCTACACCAAGGGATTCATCAGCTATCCCAGAACCGAGACCGACCAGTTCGACAAAGGAATTGACCTGAAGAAATTGGTCGAGAAGCAATACCCTGACAGCTCATGGGGCCAATACGCTCGAGAGTAAGCTTATTGGACTTGCATTTTATATACAAGACTAATGCCTATCTAGACTTATTGATGGCAAGTTCAGGACTCCTCGCTCTGGTCGCCACAATGACAAGGCCCATCCACCTATTCATCCTGTCAGCTGGGTTTCACCAAATCAATTGAATGCCAATGAAAAGAAGGTCTATGAATTTGTTGTCCGTCGATTCCTCGCCTGCTGTTCCGATGACGCGAAGGGCCAGAGCACAGAGATTGAAATTCAATATGGCGACGAATTCTTCCACACCAATGGTCTTATCGTGTTGGAGAGAAACTACTTGGATGTATACGTCTACGATAAGTGGGAAAGCAGCCAGCAACTTCCCAACTTTGAACGAGGGGAGCTCTTTGAGCCCACAGAAGCTAATATTTTCGATGGCAAAACAACTGCTCCGAGCTATCTGACTGAGCCCGAGCTCATTGGCCTGATGGATGCCAACGGGATTGGTACAGACGCCACGATGGCGGAGCATATTGCCAAGATCAAAGAGCGTGAATACGTCGCCATAAACGAACGAGGCGGTGGCCGCAGTTCAGTGCAGGAATTCATTCCGACCCGTTTAGGCGTTGCCCTTGTGGAGGGGTATGACAATGTTGTCGAGGGTCTCCCTAATAGTGTGTCTCTCAGCAAGCCGTTCCTTCGCAAGGAGATGGAACTGAGAATGCTTGAGATCTGCTCAGGTACCAAAACTCGACAAGAGGTCGTCCAGCAGAGTCTGGATATGTACCGAGAAGTCTTCATTCACACACAGAGACGCATCAATATGCTGAAGGCTGCCTGTCGCAAATATCTTGTTGAAGAAACCGGGTCATGATTGTCAGTTACAAAAGGCATCATATCATCTATAATCATAATGAAATATTCAATTGATTGAACTCTCTGTCTCCAGCTCATTCGGCATTAATGAATTTCACACCTTCAAAGAAAAAGAAGAAAAGCAGATCATAAAGCGCCCTATAATACAGATACAAAATGGATATTCACATGTGGTAGGTCAACCCCAACTCTCCTGACCATTGCACTGAACTAACCCTCCTTTCCCATTCTTAAGACCCACAGCTCCCTCGGAGGTGGAAATTCCGTTGGTTTGCCTCGCGGTGTTGTGGTTGGAAGCTCCATTGGTCTCGGTAGTGCTAGGGCTCCTGCACAAGTCCAAATTGGGCTGGTCGAGTTGCACTCCTTCGGTTAGGTCGTCGGACATGTTCTTCGCCATTAGTATGTTGAGCCAAGCTAGCTGTCTCGGAATCTGAGGGAAACTTTCAGTATTTCTCATCAGATTTTGGTGCTGCTGACTGACCTCGTCCAGTTTGGACTCAATCGTAATCATCCCAGAGGTGTACTTGTTTTCCATCATACCCACAACATGCAACAAACAATGTTGGAGGTCGGCCGAGGCGTTTGTGATGGACTCCGCCAGGTGAACGAAAACAGGCCGTACTTGTTCATTTTCTGTTCGAAATTGTCGGATCTCCAACATCAAGGTGCCGAATTGTTGTTGCACGCCGCTCATTCGGACGAAATAGTCATATTGCATGTCCTCGACGTGCTGCTTGATGTTATTCGTCATCCCAAGGGCTATTATCTGCATTGCGAGAATAAGCAAAAAGAGAGTAGCCGTGACAGTGAAATACAGCGTTTTACTCTGGGCCGCGTCGGACTGCTGCAGTTCCTCGTATGTACGCTCAGCTGCCGAGCCGTCGTTCAAATAGACCGAGGTTGACATCGCTATGGCACTCGGCCCTAACATTGTTGCTGTAACTCCTGGGATGTCGACGTGTACTGATGCCGCTTCAGCCGAGTGTTCCAGGGCCAGTCTGGCATTTTCGTACTGTTGAGCATCGACGGAAAGTTGCAGAATTAGGTCGTGTTCTGAGATTGCGTCGTCATAGGGGAAGACTAAAGGGTGAACTTTGCGCAATTCGTGAATGGAATACGCAATTTCCAAGGAGCTGAGACTGCGCCAGAAGAAAGAGTTGGAAGGAGTGATTCCGGTCAACGGAATGGAATGCCAGAGGCCAATGGTGCTGAGGCTGGCAAAAACGGCTCCCAGCATCAGTTGGTCGAACATCTTGGGGGTTTTTAATCAGATGGGTTTGAAGAGACTCAAGGGAATCTCCGTCTATCTCGGTGGCTTGAGAGCTTAAATATACCATGAATATGGCAAAGATGCTACAATGAATAAGCAACTCTTTATTCAATTCACCACATGTATTCAAACCCGAATAAACATCCATTGTTTTAGGCTCTTTGATTGAGAGTTGTATTATGATGTCTGGCATGATTGTTCCTTTGTTTCCGTTTGGGCTTTGATTCGTATATTTAGCTCCTACTTATATATCCCACTTTATTCTTACCGTAACAATCCTACGTCTTATAAGAATATCATCAGTAGATCAAGTTATGTTCATATCGAGGTAAACACCACAAGTTCTAAAATAATCAAGTATTGTTACAACAAGACAATGAGCTCAAAGAAATCACCAATCACTAATACTCCACAAAGAGCTCTAAAGCGTCTCAGACAGCTTTCAAACTAGTTAGCAATAGGGGCTTTTCCAGATATACGAGCCCTTTGGTCGCATTGAAAGGAATAGGTATGTTATAAGGGGAAATGTTCAGAGCAAATAAAAGCATTATTATCACACTAGTTTCTATGTATACATTTTAGAAAGCGAATCTCCAAAGGTAGTGAATGATCTTGATGCTCTGTTTAACCAGCATGAGCCAATATTCATACTATAGAGCATTTATATTGACATGATTAACTTGCAACACATTCAAGCTAACATCAAAGGCGTAGGTGAAATTTTCAATGATCTCATGCGGTTAGCCATACTCGGTTATCTGCATGTTTTAATGACTGAAACGTGGAAGAAGCAAGGAGCCATTTTCGTGCTTGTGTCATAAGTTCTTTCAATACTTGCGCCATCACTAGACGGTGTCTAAGATAAATGAAACAGGTCCCTTCTCATGCTGTCGATACAGTGACCATCAATATGTAGGATCGAGACTATTATCGGCAAGACTACTAGGAACTTGAAATTGGAACAGAGTCCCAGATGTTGAATAATCAGTTGATGTATCTCATAGAGTTCAAGTTTGTTTGCTATGTCCTGGAAATCGAAATACGTGGTATTTTATGCACTATCACGTATAGGATTTATTGTATGGCCTACTAGCCCATGAAGCCCAATGACACTTGTCCTCCTGAGGTCAGAGCCTTACTTCCTACATTACGTGTCATTTGAATTGTTAATCCAATTTATCCGGTGGTAGAGTGACTTGTGAGCTCAGAGCATATCGGCAGTTTTCAACAGAGACGGAAAAAGAGGCAAAGTCTACCAAGGGGAGGACTTTAGTGTGGCGCAGTATTCTCTCATCGTCATAATAGGCCTAATCGTAATCCTCATCCTCGTCCTCGTCACCCTCCTCGTGATCGTCTTCATAGTCCAAATCGTTTTTATCCTCAACATTTTGTTCAACGTCCTCCTCGTAATACTCATCCTCATCATCATCGTCCTCTTCGGCCTCTTGCACAGAGTTGTACCACTGAACAGCAGCATCTTGCTGAGCCTGCTTCAATTGTTCTGAGGTATTCGTGGCGACTTGGAAGCCATGTCTTATGAGCTGTTGACGAATATCGGTGGCAGGGATAGCGATCTGCATTCAATTAATACATAACCAACTCGGAGAGCCTTAGTATAGAAGATGCACTGACATGTTTGTGTTGACAGCTCGGCACATGGCAGAAGACCTCGCCATGGTCCACAATTATTTGACCAGCAGAGCTCTATTAGCGCAATCAGTAAACTTTTCCGAAGTTGATTGTCCTCATATAGCTCACGCTCGTGTAAGGTGGCAGCTTGAGCTCCTGGGACTCGCTCTTGAGATGCTCTCGGTGCATATTGCGGCTTCGTAAAAGGACCGGACAGTTATAACTGTCCAGTAAGGCACCAGCGAGAGGCATTTTGAAGTCTGTTTCAATCTGTCTGTTTCTGATGGAAGAGAGAAGGAAGAAGAGGAAGAAGAGGAAGAAGAGGAAGCATTTCACAGGAGAGAACTTGTTGACTCTGCCCAAGTGGCTCCTTCCTACTCAGTTCTTTCCCTCTTCGGCATCATCTCTCTTTCTCCTGCTACTCATCCTCTTCTTTTCTTTTTCTCTTTTGAGACTCTGCCTTTAACTATCTTGACTCGACTCTTTATTTGCTCCTCAACTCTCACGGCTAACATGGGCTTCACGTTCGCAATCCCGAATGATATGACACTCATTGTGATTGAAGAGCCGAGCGAGAACCGCGACCGCAAAATCAAGACGGCCTTATTTCACCTTGATCGCTCAAAATTGATTGAAAGCAGTCCATACTTTCAAAGAATGTTCACACCTCGGTGGGAAAGAACCGAAAACCACAATCCCACTCTCAGAGGCGACACAATTAAAGCCATGGAAGTGATGCTGGGGTCCATTCATGGAGTCGATATCAAGCCAGAGTCTGTCTCCGTGGCAGATGTCTGGTACACAATCAGGGCCTGCAACAGGTACCTACTGGATCCCAAGAAGCTAATGAACTGGTTTGCACGCTGGATCAAGTACATTCACGAGAAACAACCTGAGATGTGGAAAGACTGGGACGTCAACCGCCAGCTGCTGTTTCCTTGCCTTTTTTTTGATCATGCAACAGCATTCCAGCATATTTCAAAGAGACTCGTCTACACCACCCCGGGCCATATCACAGAAATGGCCCCGACAGACTCACCATCGTTCGAGCCGATGCATATGCCCGCTATCGTCATGCGTAAGTTGACATCACTTCACATTTTTTAAGATCAAATAGTGCTAACTCGCAAAAAGAGCAATTAACCGCAGCCAGAGGGCGGCTCCGAACCATTCTGCAAAGATCTCTTTTCGAAGACGTGAACGTGATGATTGACCATGCTCGTTGTGACTGCGCGGCACAAAACATCTTTTCCTACATGAGGGAACTACATAGAATCGGGGTCAAGCCGCTGGATAGTGACATCCACAAGAATTGCGTCCTTGATATTCTCAATCGACTGGCAAACTTCGATGAGGACAAGATGGCAGACAGGGACCCATGGGTGCCGACATGCGAGGCATGCTCCCACTCCTGGAAACGCCTAGTGGGGCACGCACAAAGACATGTTCAAAACTACTTCGATGGTCTATGTTTAGATTGCATGAAGAACCAACCAAACGAGAATTCTGAGTACTGGGCTTTCGGCACCCCAAGATACGAGTATGACGGAACCTGCCGCATCAGCCACGGCGAGCCGACCTGGTACTTCAGTTTTATGGGTCGTCGTGACAGAAGTCAATGCCGCATGCAACCTGAGTGAATAAGAAGAAAATCTCGACTCCATGGCGGGGCTGGTCATCTACCTGGGATTTTGCCGAGCAACCTATGCCCATTTCTCTTCCTGTCAATTTGGTATTCACCATTTACTGAGTGCCCAACTATGTCCATGGCAAGGTCTGGTCTTTTAATCGATAGTGGATACTCACAATTCTAACTGCCCTTGATCCATAAGCCGGTGGATATATGTTCCAAATCGAGTAATATTTTGACAGTTTATTCGCAAGACCCTCGCCAACAATGACCGTATATCTCTGTGAGCCAGCTTATCCGCTGGTTTCCTTGGTGAATGTATGAAATTTAATAAGGAGCTTGGAAATGATTCTCTGCTCTGGATACCCTTCATCCTCTATCGAGAAGGAAATTACAATATTAACGCATCTTGAAAGGCTACTTTGACTACAGAGCTGATCATAAAGTTTCGACTCAAAGATGTTCCGCACATTAAAGAAAGTGATACTGTGCGTGTGATTCTCCTGTATAACCCAATATCCTTCCCTTATAACTGCCATGCACTCATGAAGTAACCACGTATATGGCGAGGTGCAAGTCCGCTAATCCCTGGTATCACGACACTCTTAAATGACGTAGCAGTGGATACAGATTAACGGCAAGCCTTGTTCTATTATAGCAGTATGAGCCTTTTTCCACTTCCATGGCAGCATTTAAGGATGTAACAACTTACACACACGTCGGATCCTAAGACGAAACGGAGCCGTAGGCATGAATCTCACGATCGAATTTCAGGCATGCCCCCTTTATGAATGTACTGTCTCCACCGTCCGCCCACCAAGCATACCGTGCGCTCACAGCAGCACCGCATCCGTTGTCTGTGAAGAAGGTGGCTTTCTGGTGACGACCTCCGTACACTTCGACCTTCACCGACTTAGTCGCGAAGATGTCGGTATCTCTACATGTGTTGTCCCACACATTGACCCTCTTAGATTCGCCGGAGCAGTCGTCGTTCCGGTAGGCGGTGATCACGTATGAAAGAGCCCCGGGGCTAAGGCAGAAGAGTGCGAGGCTCTTTCCGAGATGCATGGTTGCTTGAGAAAGTTGAATTGACGGTGGAGTGGAAAATTATCGTGGGATGTGAGTACTGAAGGCAAATCAAGCTGATGTCTGGATACTATGGACGGGTCGTGAGGCCCCTTTTATATTCGAAGACCGTACCTCGCCAAGACTAGAGACTTGTGTTTGTGAAGTTTTACGACTTTCTGCCCCAATATTCACATCACACAGCCATCCTTGGCTTTGAATTCATAGTCCATTCAATCCATGTAATCCTGGGGATACGAGGATGCAGTCCGCTTGCCTTCTTGTGATCTGTAGATGTGATAGGCTTCCCCTATGGCTGAATGGCTTCTTCCTAAAGAAGACTTATGTTGCGCCTCGTCATTTGATCCATGCAAACCTGGGGTGTTGGGATGTAGTTTGTTGGCGTTCTTGTGATCTGTAGACGTGATAGGCGGAAGGCGAGGTAGGCGTCCCTTTTGGCTTCTTCCTAAAGAAGAATTATGCTGCGTCTGGTTATTTAATCCCTACGAAACTGGGCGTCCTCGAATGCAGTCTACTGACGTGCTCCTGATCTGTAAATCTGATCGGCAGAAGGCGAGTTAGGCGTCCCATACGGCTGAGAATGCGAGGCTGCATTGTGTCGATCTTATGTCATGGTTATGTCGATCTTATGTCGATCTCAGATGCGATACGCCACGACCTCGGACCGACCCTCATTTTAGGCACTATCGTTGATAGCACCCTGCGCCTCAAAAGCAGTACTGTCTGAGATTAGTACGGAGTACTTGGGTTCGAATGTCGCAAATTCGATGAGGGCTCAACTGCACCGGAGTGCCTGTGGGAGCGTCAATTGGGAGTTCCAATGAATTCTTGCCAGTGGGCAGTTCGAAAGTATTCTTAGGTTGGAGGACAGGTGGCCCCCAGGGGAGAGTGTGCCTGCATAAGTTACCGGACCGTTACCGGCGTCCATATCTGGCTCGTGGTGCTTCTCGGGCGTTCATATTGGTTCGCTGTGCTTGTCAGCTCTCATGCAATGTTTCTTTTCCGTTTACTTCTTTGGTCTAGCACGTAGCCCCAATACTCTGCCAAGCCCGCCCACCTCCCCAGCACTGTCACTGTCACTATCACAGCGCGTCTTTCCAAGCATGGATCAGCCCCCCTCCCCTTCACATTGAGCATCTAAGCCTCATCCCCTAATAGCCCGCTTTGACTTTCCCAAGCCTCGAAGTGACCCACTTGAATTGTCCCTGGGCCACTTATTTCCCACAAGCCAGCAACAGAAAGAAACCCCAGCTCTTGGAACCCTACATCAAGTCCTTTAGTACTGGTAGCCTAGACGCTCACCAGAAGTCACAAAAGGCATGGGTGATGGATGAGTCTGCAGGACGGAGAACATGATTGGCTTGGTCGAAAGTTATCGTGCTCCAGCTGGATAAGGTCTGAGTGGGAGGCTGTAATCGGAATTCCCGATACGGGCGAGACGTCCAAAGTAAAGCGCTTTGTCGAAAATTCAACTTTCATCATTCGACAACTCCCATGGACAGCCGGCGACATCAATGATGGGAAAGGCCCGTTTAAGAAGAGTCGGTTTCAAGCTCCTCAGAGTCCATGGTGAGACAAACATCGGTTCCCCCAGCAAATTCTGATTCCCTCGGCGCTCACTGTATGCGGCAGTGTCGTCTTCGAAGCCGCCAATCTTCCCGATATAACCTCCAAAAGAGTAGCGCTGGATTGAATGAAGCTGAAGATGGGGTTAGGATGAATAGATCTGGGAAACCTGCGATCACTGACCGTAAGTGAACAATGTCTCAGAATGCCAACCATCCCCGCTATTCTATCTGTTGCGGCCAAATGTATTCGGCTTAAATGATGCCGACAGACTAGGTGATTTTAAGAAGGCCGATGCATATCTTTCTTTAACCGGTGTAGTCTTGTGGCAACGGCTTTCTATCCGTGCAACGTTAGTTCCTCGGAGAACACAAATATATCCGTGCGAAGCGGGGTGATGTTGATCGGATCGGGTCAATCCGCCAAGTGCGAATATATTTTTTATAGTCAATCGGGCTCAGATAGACCGAAGAAAGGAAATTGGGGTGAGGTGAACTGAATTGATATCTCACGAGAAGGATAGAAAGACGGCTGAGCAGCCTTCCATGCCGGTTCTCCACATCTTCTCTCGCCATGTGGTCAATTCCAGTCATCCTGTCGCTGCTGATAGCACCATTGAGTCCCGTAGCAGCCAAAGGCCATCAGAAGAGCTGTGTAATCAAGAGCGGCGGAAGTAACGTGACCGATGATGCCCCAGCAATTTTGAAGGCATTCAAGGACTGCGGGCAAAATGGAAGAATTGTCTTCGAACCCAAAACGTACTACGTCAATTCGGTCATGAACATCTCCTGGCTCGAAAATGTTGACATCGACGTCCGCGGAACGCTTCTTGTATGTCTTCCATTATCCGGGCATTGTGTTCAAGCCCAGCTGCAAATCTGTTTGCTGACAATCAATATGCATTATTCGTTAGTGGAGTAATGACATCCCTTACTGGCTGAACAACTCGATGGATGTCGGATACCAAAACCAGTCAACAGCTCTGATAATTGGTGGGAATAATGTCCGCATCAATGGCTATGAAAAGGGCACATTTGACGGTAACGGCGACTACTGGTATCAATGGATCTCAGAACAACCAAACACATCCAACTACCCAGGCCGGCCGCACGGCGTGACATTCGACAAGCTTACGAACTCTGTTATTCGTAGCCTCACCTTCCTGAGGAGCCAGATGTGGTATGTGAGAAATCGGATACTTGTCTCGAAAACCCCACCCTGTGGTCTTTGCTTGCTAACGGCCAATCTTCAAAGGACTATGTCAACCATTAACTCTCACAACGTCTTGCTGGACAGTATTCTTGTCAACAATACAGGAAACTGGGCACAAAGCTGTAAGTCTTTCAAAAGAGACAACCTTAGTCGGAAAATACTGACTTTAGACAGCCAACACCGATGGGGCTGATACCATCCGGTCTTCTCATATCGCATTCAATAACTGGACCGTCTACAACGGTGACGACAGCCTTTCAATGAAGGCCAACAGCACCGATATAACCATCACAAACTGCAAGTTCTACGATGGTCTAGGCATCGCGATGGGGAGTATCGGGCAGTACAACGATCAATTCGAGACCATCGAGCGGATCACGGTCGAGAACGTCGAGTATGACAACACATTACATGCTGTGAGTGACCGCCGAGACACGGACACCATATGACATTGGACCAGTCATGCATGAAAACAATGTTATAACTCGAATATCCTTTAGTTCTACATAAAGACTTGGACTGCCGACCAGAATGGCTACCCACCGAACGGAGGAGGCGGTGGACTCGGGTGTAAGTACTTGACGGCTGGCTCTCATGCCACCTCCGCTCAATCGGGGAGTAATCGAGAAGTTGCTAACATATCCAGTTGCGTCTGAGATGAAACTCACCAACCTGACCACAACAGGGCTTCGCGGGGCCGCGTTCGCGATCTCGCAGTGCACGCGGTTCTCTGGTGCACCGGGCCAGGGTAACTGCACGAACTCGGAATTTCAGATCAAAAATGTGGAGATTGACGGGCTGTCTGGCACCAGCGAGTCCACGAGGTTGGCGAGCCTCCAGTGCAGTGCCGTGGCGCCGTGTACCAACATCACCATCGTTGACAGCACCCTGCACCTCGACAATGGCACCGCTGCGAGTGAGTACTTGTGTGGGAACGTCGCAAATCCGACTGGGTTCAACTGTACTGGAGTGCCTTGTGTGGGTGGAAGCGCCACTGGGGAGTGCTGAAGAATTCTCAGCAGTGAATTCTCGCCTGATGGGGTTGCACTCTCTGCAGTGAAGAGTTCATCACCGAATGACTCTGTTTTGGAATAATCTTGCCGGTTATCATAGCAACTCGATACCTTTCCATCAGCTTAGGGGATATTGGAGAGGAAGGCAGATACAATGCAAATTATCTGGGCGAACTTAGTCGCATCTCAGGTCGAACAGATAAGTCCAATATAAATATATGTACGAGGCTTGATCGCACAATAGGGGAATTAAGGAATCTTACCCCACATCAATCCGATGTAGTGTAGGGGTTATCACTGTGCTCTTTCACAGCACTAACGGGGGTTCGAATCCCCCCATCGGAGGATTTATCTTTTTAGTCCTATACCTTTTATGATTTACTTTTTATATCCTCCTATTTATTTGCGCGTCGTTGAAGGGCTCTAATAATTACAGATGTCATGTTTTATCGCCTGTAGACTATAATTCCCTAAATACATAACGGAACATAAGTAAGAACTATATTCATTACTACATACCCAGGAAACTATGAACAACAATCCTGGGACATTACCAGACATGGGCCGAGATGTGCCCAGTATCTACAGGACCTTCTGTGGTTGCTTTATCCTTTTCCTTTTTGAAGCAGACACTGGATGAAACCATGCTCAAAGAGTGCGTCTTTGTCTCGGCTTTTGTCGACCGCGAATAACGTAGATACGTATATATGCCGGCGTACGCGAACCAAAAGGACGGAAGCTTTTGCCATTATACACGAATAGGAACCCCCAATAGTATACTGGCTTAATTGAGCGCCACCTCGACAGCTCTGGTTTTCGGTGTCTTTCTGTGGTTACTGTCATCCAACTGCTCTTCTGGGGGTCGCACCTAATGGTCAATCATTAATTCAGTTCTTTTGGACTAGGTAGAAGCAATCAATGACATATAACAATGGAACGAGATCACCGTACCCGTTATGAATACTCTATCACCCTTGTAATGGCATATAGATTCTTTTCCCTTACTGGAAACCTAACAATATAGGCTAAATTTGAGGATAAGTATGCCCAGCTCTCTCGAAATCATATAGTAATCCGATGTAGTGTAGGGGTTATCACTGTGCTCTTTCAAGTTCCAATTTGGGAGAACAGCACTAACGGGGGTTCGAATCCCCCCATCGGAGTTTCTTCTTTTTTATTCGCTGCATTCGTTTTTGGTATAGTAAATGCTTGTTCCCTTCCTTCCTAAAGCTGTTGACTGCGCTTCCTTCCATTTTCATTTTAACAGCGCTTTATTCAGTAACTACGACCTGGATTCATTAAATTGCTTAGGAAGTATCCTCGGTATTACAGCGCTTACTCCCATCGGCGGCACCGGCCATTCCTCCGAATCGATATAAGCACAAATGCTACCTACCTATGTTGTACGTAGTCCTGAAGATACTTAGCCTAAACCAACCCGGGCATCCAATCTAGTCAACTCAGCCCCGAAAACACTTATCACAACAGGAAAAGATCGACACTAGTAATCCTTGAAGATCGATGCACTCTTCTGCGCATTAGTCCGTTCAAGGCCATTCGCCAGTATAATCAATAACCGGCAAATTGCTAGTCGCGTAACCATATCCGGGGAAATTTGTCTACTCATAGAGGGAGAACTTTGTTTGGGCTTCATTGGTGCACAGGGAAACCCTTGGCCCGTATATTGACGGCAAATTACCGTGTCGAATTTGGCCATTTGCACTTCGAATATGTAGCACAGACAGGTAGCCAACTTGATCAGATGTAACCTCGTAATTTTCCGCATATGATTCTGGATTAACAAGGGCAGCTAAGATGGGGGATAGCGTGACCGGCAAAGACACCCGTGGACATGTTTTCAAAGCCACGGGATCCTAGGGCTATCGCCAGGTACCACATGCAACTCCCAGGACGCGGGGGATCACCCTACACTCTTTTTTCCATTGATCTATGCTTTCCACTTCGGAAATACTTTGCAGAGATCACATTCCGACCAGGTTGTTTACGCGCTGCCTTTTGGACTTTCGATTCACGAAACAGGCCCGGCGCATCCGGCAATAGAATCTTGAAACACCGGCTTCACGACACTGTCAGGGCCTAGTATCTCTGCAGTAGTTTCGATACCACTGGTAAACCCCGCAATGCGATCCACACTAATAGCCAAGACTTAGCATGTCCTTCATCTTACCTTCTTTACTTCCGATGCTTCGGGTTGGGCAATCCGTCCAATATGATGGACCATGTCTCCACAAACCAGACCACGGCGCTCGTGCCTAGTATCTTATTTGTGGAAATACTCAAGGAACTGTGACAGCGGTCTTGATTTATGCAGAGGCTTACTTTGTGCTCGAGGGTAACCTTTGCGGGAGTGACCGGTATGTATATTGATCCTCGGTTTCAATCTGATGTGTTCTCGATGGGACGGTGAACTGTTGCCAAATGCTACAGCAAAATAGAGAGTAGAAAATATTATGAATCAGGATAATAATAATCCATATCAGATCATTACTGCTAGATAGCTGGTATCGGAAGAGTGTTCTTCTGTCCACAATATCGCGCCTGGTTTCGGGCTGAAACGGCTTAGGCCTGAAGGGTCTGTAGAAAGATCTTCCGTGTTTGGGCTCAACGCCTCGCACATTATCCCACATTATCTGACACAAAAGAAAAGCCTTTTGCTGGCTTGATGTCAGTGGAGGACGCTGGGGAGCGCCGTGGCGCCCATTCCATCTGGGGCGCTCTTGGCAGGCTTCAAAGCCCCTTCCCTACAAAGTGTCTCATGATCTTGTATTCTGCAGGGCATAGTTTAATCAGGCGGTACTGGCCCTGATGTGTAAATGAAAGATCGACAGGCAACATGCCTCAAAGAGTCTCCATTCGCAGTCATTGCTCCTTGCACCATTAAGTTCCCCGAATCTTATACGAAAATCGACAGAACTGGATCGGGGCATTCTCCGTTTTCACGGACGACGTTGAAACGATTAACCCATGTTTATCCACTCCAATATCAGCCAGGATCTTGATGAGACGATTTCACCACAGTTATCCAGCGATGATCATTCCCTTCCTGATTCAGGCGCTGATTCCACCCTCAAATCAATGTACCCACGACACCGGAGGTCGCCCAGTATGGAATTTGATGCTGAATTGATGATTGTGGACTCTCGATCCATGCCAATTTGGTGACGGCCTCCCGGTCCGTCACACCGGTTATGCTATGCAGAAAGGACCCTGGTCAAGCCTTGCATGACGATGACTAGAGCAATCTTGTGCGGAGAAAAGACATATAAAGATCTATTCCCACCCCAGGATTGTTCCTGTTCATCAACTGCAGGCCAGAAAACAAGATAACAGAGTAACATTGCAAACGACCCTTCTACTTCATCAGCAATGTATCAACGTGCACTCCTTTTCTCCGCCCTGGCGGCGGCCGCCCATGCCCAGCAAGCTGGCACTTTGAAAGCTGAGACCCATCCCTCTTTGACCTGGCAAAAGTGCACTGCCGCAGGCAGTTGCACTGACCAGAAGGGCTCTGTTGTCATCGATTCCAACTGGCGTTGGCTTCATTCTGTCGATGGTTCCACCAACTGCTACACCGGAAACGAGGTAAGAAATCTCGAACTGAGAAGATAAGCGTTCATGTTGATTGACTTCTTTCATAATAGTGGGATGCGACTCTCTGCCCCGATGACAAGACTTGCGCCGAAAACTGTGCGCTCGACGGCGCCGACTACGCCGGCACCTACGGTGCGACCACCAGTGGCAATGCCCTCACTTTGAGCTTCGTCACTGGCGCAAACGTTGGCTCTCGTCTGTTCCTGATGGAGGACGAGAGTACCTACCAGATGTTCAAGCTGAAGAACCAAGAGTTCACTTTCGATGTAGATACTTCCGAGCTGCCCTGCGGACTCAATGGAGCTCTGTACTTTGTCTCCATGGATGCCGATGGTGGCTTGGCTAGGTACGAGGGCAACAAGGCAGGTGCCAAGTACGGAACTGGCTACTGTGATTCCCAGTGCCCTCGTGATCTGAAGTTCATCAACGGCCAAGTGAGTTTTTATACTGCTCAATTCGAAAAGGTGGGCCAAATGACTAACGCACGATACAGGCCAACGTGGACGGCTGGGAGCCTTCGGAGAATGACAAGAACGCTGGTGTTGGGGGCCACGGATCTTGCTGCCCTGAGATGGATATCTGGGAAGCCAACAGCATCTCCACTGCTTTCACGCCTCACCCTTGCGACAGCCCCGAACAGACCATGTGCGAGGGCGATAAGTGTGGCGGAACTTACTCCTCCACCCGCTACGCAGGGACCTGCGACCCCGATGGATGCGACTTCAACTCCTACCGCATGGGCAACGAGAGCTTCTATGGCCCCGGCATGACAGTCGACTCCAAGTCTAAGGTGACCGTGGTCACTCAGTTCATCACCAGCGACGGCACCGACTCCGGTGCCCTCAGTGAGATCAAGCGTATCTACGTGCAGGGCGGAAAGGTCATCGCCAACTCTGCCTCGGACGTCAGCGGTGTCACCGGAAACTCGATCACACCGGACTTCTGCACAGCCCAGAAGAAGGCCTTCGGCGATGAGGATATCTTCGCTCAGCACGGCGGTCTGTCCGGCATGGGTGAGGGTTTGGATCAGGGAATGGTTCTGGTCATGAGCTTGTGGGATGACCACTATGCTAACATGCTCTGGTTGGACGGCGAGGCCTACCCCACCGATGCTTCTCCCTCCGACCCTGGTGTTGCTCGCGGCACATGCGCCACCACCTCCGGCGACCCAGACAAGGTTGAGCAAGAGTCGGGCTCGGCCAAGGTGACCTACTCCAACATCAAGGTCGGCCCCATTGGCTCCACTTTCGCTTCTTCCTAAAAGTCAAAAACGTACTTGCTGAACTCGGCTACGCCTGGAATGCGGGGGTCTCTAAGCTGCATAAATCCTTGAGCCAGTGGCAGCAAATGCCCAATTTGGAAGAAAATGGTGAATGGTATATATAGTTTCTTTCGTCAATAGTTGTCTGTATTCTTGATTTCATTTGTTCTTTCTTAGAATCAGAGTGTTGGTTATCAGAATTGAATCGATGTCACTTGCCCGATTTGAATCTGAACAAGTAAAGAAGGCGGTCGGGATATTCCCCGCCCGGCAGAAAAAAATACGGCCAGCTCTAAAGCTCTGGCTTTTTGCAATTGATTCTTTTGATCCAATTCATACGAATTCAGATTTTAACAAGGCTCATAGAAGCCTTCACAAATTGTGCTTATATCTGTTGCAATTGACAACCATGTTTGACACAGTCTGCACGCTTCCGCTTTCCGCGGACCTGTTCACTCAGGCTATACACCCCGAGGAGCCCGTAGTCTCTGTAGGTCTGGCCTCGGGCCACGTCCAGACCTTCCGACTGCCTTCCTTAGAAGGAGGGGGTGATGAAGATGCCACATTAAATTCGTCGGCCCGGACCGGAAAGGGTCACATTGACACAATGTGGAGAACTCGGCGACACAAGGGTAGCTGCCGCACCCTAGGGTTCGGTACGGATGGCAAGACGCTTTATTCGGCTGGTACGGACGGTATGGTGAAAGCTGCAAGCAGTGAGACTGGTCAGGTGCAAAACAAGATTGTGATTCCTCTTGAGAAGAACGGGTAAAGGAACTCTCCCGAACATCAAGTATTGCAACCCAGACCTTTCCATTTGGCTGACCTGTCTTCTTTTGATATCGTGTAGCTCTGTTGATGCGCCAACCATGATTCACGCCCTCTCTCCTCAAACTCTTCTCCTCGGTACCGACTCAAGTGCTCTGCACCTCTATGATCTCCGTATTCCCTACTCCAAGGTGTCTGCGCGGCCTGAGCAATCGCACCACCCTCACGACGACTACATCTCATCTCTTACTCCTTTGCCGGCTTCCGAAACTAGCACGTCGGGCTTTAGCAAGCAATGGGTCACAACTGGTGGAACAACCCTGGCCGTGACAGATCTCCGGAGGGGCGTTCTGGTGCGCAGCGAAAACCAGGAAGAAGAATTGGTCAGCTCCGCTTTTATGGGGGGTCTGCCCTCCAGCGGAACCAGTCGGGGCGAGAAGTTGATTGTCGGTGGAGCCAGCGGTATCATTACTCTCTGGGAGAAGGGCGCGTGGGATGACCAGGATGAGCGGATCTACGTCGACCGCAATTCCGATGGCGGAGATTCCATCGAGACAATCTCAGTTGCGCCTGACTACTTGGGCAAGGTGGTGGCCGCAGGCCTCTCAAACGGAAAAGTGAAATTCGTGCGCATTGGACCCAACCAAGTCGTTTCTGAGGTTGTGCATGATGAGATCGATGGCGTTGTGGGCTTGGGCTTTGACGTGGAGGGCCGTATGGTCTCTGGTGGTGGTCAAACTGTCAAGGTGTGGCACGAGGCTGAGGACAATGTCGGTGATGGATCTGGCGATGAAGACATGATGGATGATAGTGATGACGATAAAGATTCGGTTGACAGCGATGCGGAACGTCGCGAGGATCCGAAGGACCGAAAGAAGCGCAAGAAGTCCAAGAGCAAGGACCGCAGTGGTGGACAGCATGTCATGGCATTCCATGACCTGGACTAATGTCTCAGTACCCCATTATCTGATACCCACATCTGCAGATCAATTGTTCAGCCCGAAAAGAAGAAAAAGTGTACATAGCGTTGGTGTTATGGTTTCTATGAGCCTTGGAGGAAGAATATCTATATCTCCATCTAGAGATGATAAGGTGCTCCGTACGTTTCCCTCCTTACTTTCCTCTAGGTTATTCCAAGGTTCGCATGTTGTTTTCAACGCCAAATAAATGTCCGGGGCCAAGAGTCATTGACGCCTTGCCCTGCATAGCACCTAAACCCAGTTGCCCGTACCGACTCCAACTATACAAAAACCTCGCTTCATTCAGCAACACACCTAACTCCAAAGAATGCAATAGCACGAATCATCCTTCAAGCAAGTAAGACCACTCCGGAATCTCGTTGATAAGTTTCCACATGTGCTTCTCCAGCTTGACCGCACACTTAGCGTATACCGTTGTGGCATCATTATACTGCCGACAGTTACTGAAAATCAATTTGAGATCGCTGACAAGGTCTTTCGGAGTAGTGTAATGTTCCAATCTTTCTTCTATGGTCGACAGATCCATTGGTGATACAATGACATTGTAATAATCAGGGACTTCATCTCTGTTGACTGGATTGAGGAAGGGCCATGCTTGATTGTGGTTTTGGATTTGATTCAGAAGACGTCGAAACTCGTTGAAATGAGGTCCTTTGAAACGGGATCCGCGGCATGATTCTCGCACCAACTTGTCCATATCCGGAGACCAGCCAGTTTCCCGGATGGCAGGGATAGAGAGTGGATCGATTGGAATCACGACGCCGTCGTTAGCGTTAGCCCATTGCCGAGGCGGTAGATGAATGATATGACTTTTGCTCAAGATGCGGATTTTAGCTAGAACGGATTCCTTTTGCTTAAGAAGCATTCGACCAACTTCGAGATATCGTATTCGGGTAAGCATAGAGCATTGCATAAGTGTCCCTCCTTCGTAATCCTTAATACATCCCATCCATATAGAGTTGTCGAGAGTGATCTCTTTAGTAAAACCTTGCTTCTGAAAATACCCGATAGCATGATTGTCGGCGTAAGTCAGAAAATGCATCACCGGGGAAGTAGCTCGGACATAATCCTTTAAATGGGCCATAAGATGTGCTCCGTATCCTTTCACCTGTTGATCAGACGAAACGGCACAAAAAACGATTTCGGCAAACTTGCGGTCTCGGAATTCTCGGAATGATATACCGCCAATGACCACTAGAGGCATTTTGACGATAGCGATCGATAAATGAGTGCGATCGTAGACGAGACGTGCGATATATTCCTTAGGCATCTCCGGAAGTTGTCTTTGAAATAGGCATTTAAGACCTGTAAGGATAATCGTACTCTCTCTGGAGCCGTCGTTGTTGACAACTCTGAACTCGATGTCGCCATTTCGTTCTTCCAAAACTGCAGGCTTTACAACAGTTAGTTAACTGACTAGAAAGTTTCTTAGCGTTTGAAGGTCCTGGCATACCTTCTCTGGGAAAGGAATCCTCCGGGTTATAGCTGGAGCTTTGACACCCGCCTCTGTCAACCCATAATGGAGGCCTTTGGCTCTTTTGGTATCGGGGGCAATATTCCGCTCTTCACGAGCCTTGCGTTTCGTAACGAGGAGATTTGGCACGCTATCGCCTTGCGACTCTACGTTGTCCATTTGCATGTATTTGCAACGCTGAATTTGCGATAGGTAATATGTAAAATCGTATGGCTGGACCTCGGGCTCTCTGAAGCGATTGCAGCCTTCCTCCCTCAATAAGGAAATACTTTTAAGTAGAATCTGAGGTCAAAGGCCAGTTCAGTGTACAACATAGGACCCAGTGGTCAATGCTCACTAGGGTGCCCCTTATTTTCGCTTATATAGACACTGTTTGGTTTTGAGGTGTGATTCAACGTGTGGTTTTTCTAGGCAAGGGATATGGAAGATCAGAAGAGGAAAATAAAAGCAAGCATCCACCTAAGAAATATGGGGAGCGCACGGATGGGAGAGGAGAGGAGTGGAGAGAGAGATCTACAGCCCCCAGTGATGTACAGGTGATCATATCACGTGAGTTTGATGCTTCACATCTAGACCTTCCATTGAGGAAGTAGAGGCAGTTGAGATAATGAGATACATGAGCGAGACAAATGATTGGACAGCCGCTACTCTAGTCTATGACTATTATGCTTGACTTGTGTATCTGCTCAATGCCTGTTTTGGTTTGGGAATCTATAACATGCGCAATAGACAAATAACTCAGTGTTAGAAGGCCTGAAATTGAAATATATTTGATTGAATTTAGCTAGAAATATATAAACTCTGAATTTTTACCATACCCCAGGTGTCTTCTTCACAGGCTGTTCACCATGTGCATTAGTTCGAGTCTCATGGGTGATATCAATCTCATTGGAGACCACGATAGCACTAGAAGCCTGGTTGCCAGGCATAGGTGCCGGATATGCCTTCAAGTTCTGCATTTTAACCTCTTCCATCATCCGTTCCTCACTCTCGGTAAATGACATGCCGATGGTCATAGGATCTGAACTCGCAGCACCGTGACTCTTATTCCGACTGGAAAAGTCGCCCCCGCCACCAATGCTCCGGAAACCACCCGAAGGTGATTTATGTGTCTTATGAGACGACTGAAACTGGCTGCCGAAAACTTTGCCAAGCCAAACTCTGAAGAGGTGAAAGATCATGGGAAGATTGGTCGTGACGACTGCGACGAACGTTTCGCGGGTGCCCCATTCCTCGGCGAGTTTTGTGCCTTCTTCGGGCTTCTATAGAAACGGAGGAAAGAGATTAGACAAAAGCCTTTAAGCCGGGAGCAATGCGAATATGTTGAAACTCACCACTAGGAGGAAAACACTCTTGAAAGTGGCGCAAACAAGAATGAAGACACCCGCACTGAGGACGATAGTGGCCGCGACCTTCTTCAAAGGCTTCAGACTTGATTTCCAAAGCATGGGGATTGGGATGAATATGAGGTATGGATCGGTAAGGAGGTTTCCAGCGAAGGTTACTGCAATGACCGGCTTGGAAATGGCTGGTTGGCACGTGTCTAGAGGCATAGTCAGCATATATTCAGTGCTGAAGACAAGATGGGAATCTGACTGCCGGGGTCTGGATTGATCTGCCAGTTTTTGTGGAATGGTCGGCATGCGCCAAAGATTGTGATGACGCTGGCGAGAAAGCTCCCGATGACAAGGACAAACCCAACATAAATAGGAATTTGATAACGCCGGCCAAGACCCTCCTGTTTAGTATTAGTTACACGTTGCGAAACATCTGTTGCCAGGAATTATCGAGGTTAATACCATCAGTCGAACGTAGAATGCGAGCATTGACAATTTGAGTGCATTAATCAACGCCGAATAAGTAGTCCAGCCCGCGATTTGAATCTTGGAGCCAATTACTCTAATCAGATGGTTAGTGATCAAATTCACACTTGCTCTTCGGTTGACAATTTGGGGAGACGTACCTGTGCTTGTAACTCGGATCGTCGGGTGACAGTGCCTCTCTTTGGGCGGTCGTCATGCCATTGTTGGCGAGGCCATTAGACACAGTTCCCACACTATAAGCAAGCGACGTCTGTGCAGTATAGAGTATCTATATGAATTGGAAATCAGCAAACAGTAGGACGGCATATCATCAGCTGGAGACAATCACAATTGCAACCCATATAAGATAATCATCGAGTCGTAAATTCCTCCATCCAGCGGCTTTCCCCCGAGCGTATGTTCTAAGAATTGTCACAGCAACGCCAATTGAATATAGCGTCCATAATTCTACTATGGCCTTGTGGGCAGCATCCGACGCGGCATCTCGCGGCTCTAAGCCAAATGCCATGGTGGTCGACATTTGTGAAGATTAGCGGAGATCGGGATTAGCGCAGCGAAGATTTGGACATGGGAATGGAGAAGGTAAGAAGAGTAAACAGATTAATACATATCTCCCCTGCACTAGCGGGAATCTTACTTCAATTGTTGGATTACGATTTCGCCCCAAATGGGACGGATTTCCAAGGTTATCGGTGAGACCGAGGAATTGGAATATTCCAAGGTTCCAAGGTTGGTACTAGAGCGGGTCTCTATCTTCATCCAACCTTGGAAAATGCCTGGAAGGTTCGTTCCGTTCACAAAAATTCCACGGATAGAATGATTTCTGGGAGCCACATGTGTACCTGAGCACCAAACTAACCTCGATAGAGTTTCACCTCAATTACTTGGTATTGTGTATCCATGGATGTCCACGTGCTAACCGTGGATCCTTCAGCTGGCGACCCTATGTTGTAGATTCGGCATTTGTACTCGGTACGGTCGATCGAAAAATACAGTCTACTCCATAGTACTTGTCTCCCACATGGCAGGGGCGAAGGGCACTTGCCGGACATATCGGATATTTCGGGAGTAAACATGCATTCACTGCCCCTTACGAAAGAAAAAGTTAATCTAAAGAAAATTCAAATTTCATGATAAATTAAGTGGCATTCCCTCCAAATTAATTCCGACCTAACTCTAAGACACAGAGTTAATAGTGGACCCTTTGCCAGACGCGATAAATGCACCGCCCCACAAGTTTGGGGCCACACCGGTGTTCGTATCCAACCACGATGCAGCTGAGCATGTTCAGAGTGGAACTTAATTGTCCCGATCAGATGGCTGCGCTTATTGAGGCTGCGGTACAGGCTGATGACGGATGTAACATAACCTAGCCCTCTGCATTAGCGTGCTGCAGGGAAGAGCCTGCCGGCAGTTCTCAATTTGGAAGGAACGTTAAAAACATTGACATAGGGGCGATAAGTTATAAAACCGAACATACACGTACCTAGGTACATAGGGAGATTCACAACCACTCGGAGATATTGCAGGGCCGTGCTACGAAACGGGCGCTAGGGCGGTGTAGACTTCTTTATCCTGCAAGTAAGCTATTGTAGCTTCTTCAAGAATAATACTCTATTCTACACTATCGGAAAGGAGAGTCGATCTAACCAAACTAACTCTAGGGCGGTTTTATCATATAATAAGTAGTTAGAGCACCGCACAACTGACAAGGATCCTTACCGAGGTGCAGCATACCATACCCACTTTTTGCTGACGTCTTCTGACGATTGAACTTAAAGGGAATTTGGTTTTTGCTTTCTTCTTATCTTTACCAATTCAGGGCATCCTCTTTTTGAGCAATGTATCGACTCAAGATAGAGGTGATCACGGCCGTTGCGGCTTGGGCTTTTTCCGCGGCCTCTCTGAGCTTCCCTAGTGGTATCGAGGGGGGCCTTTGCCCACGTGGCGATGCTGACTTCGAGGCATTCGGCAAGAAGCTTTCGAGCTCTGCCAAGGTGTATTCTCCGGGTTCCAGCGGGTTCAAGGATGTTACAACGCGGTGGTCTGCTCTAGAAGAACCTACGGTGAATGTCGTCGTCGTGCCTGGGACTGAGAACGATGTTGTTGAGACGGTAAGCTTTTTTTCAATTTTTTTTTTTCAATAATTTACTGTGTGTGTCAATTAGCAAAGACAGATACTAATTGTGATGCTTTAGGTTAGATACGCCAACCAGAAGGACCTACCCTTCCTCACGTACAATGGTGTCCACGGAGCCCTCACTTCGCTGGGTAAGATGGACTATGGCATCGGAATCTCTATGAGCCAGCTGAGCAGCGTCCAAATTGCCGAAGATGGAAAGACAGCCACCATGGGTGGAGGAACCATGTCCAAGATGGTCACCGACCAGCTTTGGGCCGCAGGAAAGCAAACAGTTACTGGAACCTGTGAATGTGTCAGTCTCGTAGGACCGGCGCTTGGCGGTGGACATGGATGGCTCCAGGGCCACCACGGACTTGTCTCTGACCAATTTGTTTCGATGAATGTCGTTCTTGCCGACGGTACCTTGGAGACCATTGACCAAAACTCCGACCTCTGGTGGGCGATGAAGGGTGCTGGCCACAACTTCGGCATTGTCACTTCTCTCACCAGCAAGATTTACGATATCGAGCACAGTGACTGGGCTATCGAGACACTCGCTTTTAGTGGCGATAAGGTCGAGGCTGTCTACCAGGCTGCCAACGAATATCTTCTGAAGAATGGCACCCAGCCCGCGGGTGTCATCAACTGGTCGTACTGGATGAACAACCCCGACGTTGACCCTAGCAACCCCGTCATCGTATTCTATATCATCCAGGAGGGAGTAAAGGCCGTTGACTCGATTTACACCAAGCCTTTCCACGACATCGGACCGCTTTCCGCTGTCCCCCAGGCGGGCACCTATAAGGACCTCGCTGCATGGACCGGCGTTGCCCTCGACTCCCCGCCATGCCAAAAGGCCGGGTTCGCTAACCCCCGCTTCCCCATCTATCTCCAATCATACGACGTTCCGGCTCAGAAGAAGGCATGGGATATCTATGCACCTGCCATCCGTGGATCCTCTGCCTTCAACAATTCAATCCTCATGTTCGAGGGTTACTCCTTTGGCGGTGTCCACGAGATCCCTAGCAGCTCGAGTGCTTTCGCTTTCCGCAGCGAGAATATCCTTGCCGCCCCGCTCATCAACTACTTGCCCGGCGATAAATCAGTTGAGACCAAGGCGGCTGATTTGGGTAACCAGCTCCGCAACATCCTCTTTGAAGCCACTGGCTTCGAGGACATTCGCGCATATGTCAATTATGCCCACGGAGATGAGACGCTAC